CTCATAATCTCATATGTGAAAATTAATAATATTTCAGAAGAAAAGTCATATTATAATATCAGAAAGTTCATAACACAATTTCATATTCTAATTAGTTTACCTATCAATATCGTCGAGGGTAGCAGGTAGTGTAGCAGCAGGCGTAGAAGTATTAGCAGCATCAGGGACATCTCTGGCGAATGGAACCTTGATCAATGGAGTTATTTCTCGTCTTTCAGAACTTGATGTAGCAGGGGTAGCAGTATATGTTTCAGAAGATGAAGCAGTAGGGGTAGCAGCAGTGGTAGGAACATGTGTAGGAGCAGGGAAAGCAGCAGGGGAAGAAACAGCCGTAGCACCATGCGTAGCAGCAGGGGTTGTAGCAGGGATAGCGGTAGGAGTAGTAGAGAGTGTAGCAGCATCAGCAGCACCAGGAGTGTCTTTCACAATGTTCTCAACAAGGGCATCCAATTCATCGTCATCCATTGCACTTTGCTCACGTGGTTCATCAACCAATGGTGCCGGGGTATAAGAAATCCCTAAATCAAATGAGGGAGGGTCAATCTCCATTTGCCGATTGGTCTTTTGGAAGGCTTCAACCAAGGCATCAACAGCCTTTGTGAAAGACTCTTGGCCAAAGAAGATGTCATCAAGTTGAGAGGAGGTTGGAGATGGTGGTCTTTCTATCGTGCTTGCAACGCCAATCATGGTGGAAATCCCAGAAAATGCAGCCTTCATAACATCCACTGGGGCGTTTTGTTTGCCAACTTCAGCCATAGCCTCACCGAATTCCAAGACATCAGCAGCAAGGCGTTGTAGAACCCGTGTGACCCTATCAACACTAGATGGCGGCACAGAGATGGTTGGGACTGGTTGGGCGGAAGTAGAAGCGATACAATCAGCAGTAGGCTTTGCAATACGAGGGATAACTTTCCCTTTACCATATCCGCCCGACCTTTTCTCAGCGGAAACCCTTTGCCGTGCAAGTTTATTTGTCCATGCAGTAATGCTTGGATATGTTCTTTGAACGCTCATTCCTTTGAATTGGACCCGATCAAAGTAGAATAGCTACAATGTTGAAGAAAAAGGTAAAATAAAAAAGTTATAATCACAAAATTCATAATTACACTACAGAAAATTCATAATATCATAATAGAAAATTCATAATCCATATGAACATTATATTCAACTATCGTATTATGGATTTTATGTTATGCAATTATGAACTTTCTATTATGAGATTCATTATTGCATAATATTAAAAGAACATTCATAATGACAACAAGGAAAATTCATAATTACATAAAGGAACATTCATAATCAAATAAAGGAAAATTCATAACCTGACAAATACAATTCTCACAAAATCTAAATAGCATAAAATTCATAAGTACATACTGTAAATTCATAATCACATACAGGAAAATTCATAAGCACATAAAGGAAAATTCATAAGCACATAAAGGAAAATTCATAATATGACACATATAATTCTCATAAAATCTAAACAGCATAAGATTCATAAGTACATACTCTAAATTCATAATCACATAGAGGAAGATGCATAATGACATAAAGGAAAATTCATAATCATATAGAGGAAAATTCTTAATCACATAGAGAAAAATTCATAATCACATAGAAGAAAATTCATAATCTAACACATATAATTTACAATCTGAATATCATAAGATTCATAAGTGGAGCTAGACCTTACCAATATGAATGTCATTGGTCCAGTAAAGAAGCTATTACTTTTCTTCCTGTACTGCTCGATGGACTTGATCAGAGGGTTGTAGGTGTAGCCACACCAGTTGTACTCCTTTATCTCATCAACATTAATCAAGGAGTTGAGGATTCTGTTGTTGCAGTAGCGTGTCTGAAATCCCCTCATCATGCACGAAACAGTCAAGACCATGAAGTCTCTCTTAAAGTCATCTCCAGAATCTCCCCTTTGAACTATGACATCTCCCATCTGGGTAGTGATTGGGGAACCAAGCTTAATATTCCACCTCTCCCTCCAGCTTTTCAAGAGAGCCCTGTATTCCGGTGTCCCCTGTTCATCATATTTTGGGGCCTCAACAACCTTCTTTTCTCCTCTTGGAATGCCAAGAGTGTACTCAACGTCTTCTTCATCAACTGTGAGCTTGTCGTTCTCCAACTTGAAATGTGTTTGGAAAACCTCAAAGTTGGCTATCAAATACTGGACTAATTGTGACTCATTTGCACACAATTGAAGGTCCAACAGGGCTCCAAAACCAATATCACGGACAGATTGTTTTTGTTCTGGCAGTAGTTGTTGTACAAGCCTAAACATGGTCTTTGGTCCCATCCGTGTGCTGAAGTAGGGAGTAGAACTCCCTTCTACACAATCACCTCCAATGGCTGTTTTGCCCCTATGTCTGTCATTTATCTGCTTTGATCTCTTTTCTTTAATAACTTCTTGCTCGAGCAGGTCATCAGACTGCTGCTGGGATGGTTGAGCAGCCTGTGAGTCAAGTACAGCCCTTGTTGTTCGTTTTCTCTTGTTTTTTGTTGTAGGTTTGACTGCAGTGTTTTGTTCAGCTGTCGTCTGTGAGGGTTGTGATGGTTCTGCAGCTTGAGAGCTCAAGACTGCCTTTGTTTGTGAGCGTGTTCTCCTTCGTTGAGCAGTGTCCATTGCTTTTATTAAAAACGTTAGAAAGCAAGTAACTCATATACAACATATAATATAGATTGATGGAAAATATATTCCTTATTTCAGTAGAGGGGGGATGGGGAGTGCCGAATAAATCCAGCCATGCTCTACCGAAAAGAATATATTGTCCATCAAAATAACAGTTACACATAATTGATAATATAGTAACATAAAATTCATAATATCACAAAGAAAATTCATAATATCATAACAGAAAATTCATAACCTTAGAACAGAAAGTTCATAACTACAATACAGAACAGAAAATTCACAACTCACATTGTAGAATTCATAATCTCATATGAGAAAATCCATAATTCCATATTGTCCATCAATAACAGTCACATATAATTCATAGTATAGTAACATACAATTCATAATATCCCACAAAGAAAATTCATAACCTCAGAACAGAAAATTCATAACCCCAGAACAGAAAGTTCATAACTGCAACACAGAAAATTCATAACTACAATACAGAACAGAAAATTCACAACTCACATTGTAGAATTCATAATCTCATATGAGAAAATCCATAATTCCATATTGTCCATCAATAACAGTCACATATAATTCATAGTATAGTAACATACAATTCATAATATCCCACAAAGAAAATTCATAACTTCAGAACAGAAAATTCATAACCCCAGAACAGAAAGTTCATAACTGCAACACAGAAAATTCATAACTACAGAACAGAAAATTCACAACTCACAATACAGAATTCATACTCTCCTACGAGAAAATTCATAATCTCTAACAGAAAATAGATAACCACATATAAGAAAGTTCATAACAGCAAAACCGTAATTTCATAGGCACAATAGAAAATTCATAATCTCACACAGAAAATACATATTTGCATGACATAAAATACATATTTGCATGACATAAAATACATATTTGCATGACATAAAATACATAAGTGAATAAACGTTATGGACATTCAAAGCTTGCATAGAAAGTGAATAAACAGCAGTAAAAACCATATACGAATCAATTCATAATGGTTAATCTACACATATATAATGCTACAGATATACATTCATAAGCTCATAACATTACATTCAAAACCCCATTTTAAAATTTCAAAATATGTACACGGAATACAAAAACCCTAAATCATAAACACACCATATACAAAATACCTGTAAGACAAGTGAATCAACGTTGAGAATGAGCGATGGAGAGGCTGTCTCTTTTGATAGCTATGGGAGAACGCGAAGTTTTGTTCGAGAGATGCGAGAACGAGAAATGCGAGAGCAGAGAGGAATGGCTGTGGAGCAGAGTGTTTGAGAGTGATCGAAGGAAATGGCCGTGGAAGACGAAGTGAGAGAAGAGAGCTCGAGAGTGGAGTTCAGAGAGCAGAGTGATGGACGTTGCGTGGAGAGGAAGTGAAATGGTGTAGTGGGAACTGCAAATGCTATTGGCGCGTTTAATTTAAAAAAAAAAAAAAAAATGAGTGGTGGGAGTTAACGGTGCCACTTACGGGCACCGTTAGTCCCACTCACTCAAAACGGCGTCGTATGGAACCGTGTTCACCAACCATGGTGAACACGGTTCCATGGCATAACAACTGCTCTACGTCTCTACTAATGTATTCGCAATCAACACTTATACTGAATTTTAAAAGCAAGCCCCACTAAAATTCTCATACTCCTAAAGTTGCGCAAATTATGCTATACGTGGTTTCGATTAAAAACGTGCGTCCCACTTAAAAAAAATAAAATTCAGGTTCGATTTTCGGTAATAACATTTTTTTGTGCATAATTTGAATTATATATTCACAAATTCATAACTATATATCCACAGTGAATGAATGACACAAAATTCAGAATGAATGAACTAAATATCCACAATGAATGAATTAAATACCCACAATGAATGAACTAAATATCCACAATGATTGAACTAAATATCCACAACAAATAAACTAAATATCCACAATGAATGAACAACATAATGCTGTTGAGGGAAATCAAAACTGATTTTTTTTTTTTAAATGAGACACGCGTTTTTAATCAAAATAACGTCGTTTTACACACGATTGCACAGCATAACTATTACTAAAGTTGCTACACAAACAATATTTTGGACCTATCAATATTGAGGCAAATTAATATATAGCAGGCCTACCACCCCATCATTTTAAAAGAAAGGCATCCTAGTGGTCCATAAAAAGTTTAGTACTAATAAAGAGTGTTACTTATCATTGACATTATTTTTGATAAGTTTCAAGAAATTATGAAGTTTTTAAATTACTTATCTTAATTATTATCTTATTAATACTAGTAGATAATTTATTGGATTAATAATTTTTTTTTTTGAAATTAAGATTTAAAAAAGTGAAGTTTATAGTAGGAATAATATATTTACACAAACTAAAGCTTAAATAATAAAAGATATTAAAGATTGAAATTAAGAAACATTTTCACCTCAGACATATTATAGTCAGGTGCACCGTAGTCATCTAAATCTAATTAATTAATACAGTTTCTTAAACTTTAATTCCATAACTAAACAGATTTGGAGATAACGGCGATAACGGCGGCATTTCAAAAATACCATTTATATCATTATAATCCCAAACGGTCATCCAGCTTGACGGCGTTAATGGGGTGGCTGCCACGGCGGCGTAAAGTCTTTCTTGGCTATCGGATTCTTCCGACAATTCCCTTTTCACCTCCTTTGTGATCACCACCTCATCGTCGGCGTCGGAATCTCTTCTCCTTTTCCGGTCAGAGTTCACCGACGGCAACTCACTTCCCTGCCGGAAGTTCTCAACTTCCAAAGGGAAGTTGAGAATAGCCTTGCTCCCTCTCAGCTTAAACGCCGCCCTGTCATAGGCCTTGGCCGCCTCCACCGCCGTGTCGAACGTTCCCAGCCAAACCCGAGCTCCCTTTTTGTTCGGGTCGCGGATCTCCGCCGCGAACTTCCCCCACGGCCGCTGCCGGACCCCCCTGTAGTGCCGGTTCTCGTCGCCGGAATCCTGAACCACCTTCACTTTAACGCTCTTCACCTGCGGCTGAGGAACGGAGATGTTAAGATTCGGTTTCCGGTCTTTAAACTTCCTCGGAGGGCTGCTGACAACCTGCGGCTTCGATTCAAACTCAAATTCACCAGTGATATCACTGGCTGTCGTGTTTGCAGGGGCGGGAAACAGGAACTGATCACATTCAGTGAAGAATCCATCGTTTTTCAGCTCAGAAACACAAGATTCAGAGCTAGATGGGGATTGATTATCACAGAAAATTTCTGGAAACCCATCGTCGAAAAGATGATGCTTTATGAACTCAAGTGCGGAGACTTCTGCAGGTGAGCCCATTTTTTTCAAATGGAGAATGAAAATCAATAGAGAAGCTAAGGGAATTTGAATTAGAGGTTGAAGTGAATTTTGTGTGGAAGAAAGGGAGTGTGGGATAAGGTTTATATAAGAGTTTGGAAAAGTTATTGCAGTGGGACCCGGAGGAGGATTCGCACGAGGCTTCTTTGTGGAAGGAGGAAGTATCCTCGAAAGGATCATTCAACAATTGGGGTTTGGAGTAATGGAATGAAATAATAGTTTATAAGTGACAACCTCAAATTTAAAAAGATTGTGGTTGATAAAAAGCAAAATTTATAAATTTATTTTAAGTTAATTCATCAGTTCGAGTTGTGGTTGGAATTTTTGAGAATAAATAGACTTTTATATATATACAATACAATTACGGTTAAATGAGAATTATTTCTTAGATAATAAGAATTGCATATCAATTATAATTATTAAATTGGGATGATCAACGATATTAAAGTAATCGTCAATTGCTAATATGTAACCATATCAAAGATTGCCATTGTAGCTATTGCATATTGCATGTTTACAAATTTCACATAAAACATGATTTTCACCAAACTGGCCTGTTCATATACCAACTCAAAGGTGAAGAAGTGTAGACCAAAATAAGAAGTGTTTACCATATCTTTTGCTTTTAATTTGTTGATCGAATTTAGTCTTTTCAATAACTAAATTTCATATGAATTTTGTGTGTTGAAAAAATCAAAATGTACAAAGAATTTATGAGGGTAACTACTTAATAACACTGAAGTTGAATAACTCTGATTCCTTTTTGGTACCATAATTATTTTAATTGATTGCACATCTTTGTATCTTCGAGTGCACAAATTTGACTGCTGAATGCACAATTTTTAGGCCTTAGACTGCACTTTTTTGTAAAATAGAAGTGTTACAATCTTTTTTTTTTTTTTTTTTTTTTAAGAGAGCAATTCAAATGGGAGCTCATTCTCACTCGTCTTGGACCTATATATATATATATATATATATATATATATATATATATATATATATATATATATATATATATATATATATATATATATATATATAAACACGTAGTATATATTAGTCAAGATCGTAGATTAGATTAATTTTGCATCAGTGATGAGAAATACTGGATAGATGTAAAAGTAGTAAAAAAAAACTCCTTGAAAAAGGATTATATATATTTATATACCCTTTATATACCATTAAAAAGGATAGGATTATAATATATAGTAGTAGTGGAGTTGAGAATTTAAAAAGATTGGCGGATTTAATTATACAAATATAATTGTATAAGTGGCCACGAATGGATGATATATAGATGTTACGTCTGCTGTCGTTTTGCTGGTCTTTTATTTTTTGCTTATTTTTTTCATTCTTTATAGGAATGATGATGGTTGATGCTGAGTTGCTCATCATGTATTGTGAATTTTAATCTAAACTATGTATATGTAGTTAATATATATAGTATATATTTTTAGTGAACAAATTATATACATATTTTAATATTGTTCTATGTTTATAATATTTGAATTGATAGTAAATAAATGAAATATACATAAGCGTTAATTACTATTTTGGTCCCTTAATTGTAGTGTATATTATATTTTTCAATTTTAATCAATTTGATTATCGAATTGTTTAAAATTTTGTCAATTAAATCTTTTTATGGATCAAAATGGTGATTTCTACATTTTAAAATTTCGTCAATTTGTTCCCTGAAATGGTTTAATTGACAAAATTTTAAACAATTCAATAATCAAATTGGCTGAAATTGAAAACTATAAACTACATTGACAGTTGAGAAACATTTAAGGAATCAAAATGTTTAATATGGACCAAGATTAAACATTGACAGTTGATTTTCCCTATACATAATATGTCAACTACAAACGTTTAATCTGGAGCAAGATTCACCAACCGTTATATCGTGCACCAGGAGTCACAATGCATTGTGCGCCCTGCCTTGCCCAAAATGACATCGTTTTATTAAGTTGTGTCGGGAGTTGACGCGACAAACACCGTTTTATGTCTATTATGTTAAGAGTTAATGTGTATTATGTTAAGAGTTAATGTGTATTATGTGTTTATGTTAAGAGTTTATATATATTACTAGTTTTTTACGCGCATTGCGCGATTGGGATAATGCCCAATGTTTTTTTTTTTTTTTTAATAAGTACTTTAAAGTATATTAAGGCAAGATTATATTGAAATTGTTCATGCATAAATAATTGAAGGTTGAATTTGCGTATTTAAATAGGTAATTCTTCTCCCAAAGGTTGAGTCCCCAACCCCAAGGGCCCCCACACTCTGACCCGACAGAGCATTGTGGGAAGTTGTAAATCACGGTGACTCAATGGTTCAGCAGACAGGACCAAATGCTGATACGCACAAGGAATCTGCCCACTTTGGACATAATTCCCGCACTGCCGCCGCCGAGGTTCAAACCTTGGTCTCTTCTCCCAAATACTACCCACTAAACCATTGAGCTAAGCCCGTGCGGGTTAAATAGGTAATTCTAAGTTTACAAATGCAAGATAATATAGGCAAGATTGATTATAATTGTCAATAAAAATAATTGTATAGGTATAGTTGAAACCAAATACGGGACATAAAGGGAGAACAAATAAAAATTAGGGCATAAAATATTAAATATATACTAATATTGTTTGAGGAGATTCCGACATTAGGATTTGTGGTTAAGTTCTATTAAGACTTTAATATTAGAATTAGATTAATGGTGTAGTTATAATTCTATATTAGACTTTAATATTAGAATTAGACTAACGGTGAATTAACGGAAAAGTTAAATGGATAATCATATAATTAAGGATAAATTAGAAAATCTTAAAAGAAAAAAATTAAATCCTGAACAATATGAACCATTCATTTGATTTAATAATTTGGCGGTCATTTTTTCTACCCAATGTTAATAATTAAATAAATTCGCTGGTCAAATCCGCTAGTATAATCCGCTAACGTTAACCGCTAAGTACTGATTGTCAAACAAGGACATTGCGAGGTAGTTCTCACTTCAATTTGTTGTGTGATTTGAATACTCTCTTTGTCACAAAATCTCTCAAGTAGTTAATATGGTTGGCTTTAATTAATTATATATATATTTTTTAATTTTTTCATGGTATTAATAAAATACTTGGTAAATAAATATATAACATTATTTTGTATTATAACTTTGATATTTAATTAGAAAAATAGTGCAAAAAAAAGATAATAGACAATGTAGTGAATATAATCAATTGATGAATTTAAATATAAAATTTTTTACATTTGAGAAAAATAAAGACAATATAACTAATGAAAATATTTCTCTTAATTAATTTATTAATAATGAATAATTTTTTTTCACTGAATTAAGACATTGTAAGGACAATGTAGCGAATATAATCAATTAATAAATTTGAATATAAAGAATTTTTATATTGTAGAAAAATAAAGACAATATAACTAATACAATTATTTCTCTTATTTAATTTATTGATAATGAATAATTTTTTTTTGAATAAAGGCATTGTGGACACATAATTCTAAATTAAAGAAATGCATATCTATAATTTTTTGTTGTAGCTACTAAATTATTATTTATATAATTTAATAAGAGTAAAATAGAGTACTAATTATGTCAACTTTGATTGGGATGAGGTTCGAACCTAAGACTTTTTTTTTTTTTTTTTTTATTGAAATCAATGAGTAAGTTAACGGTGAACTAACGGCAATTCTTAAAATTTTAACGGAATTAGTAACGGTGTGTGGGTATTTTAGAAAATTTTAGTGTAAAATTTAAATCTTATCAATCTTTTAATCAATCTGAGCCATTCATTTGATTAAAATCTGTGACCGCCATTTTTTCTACCCATTATAGGCCTAAGTCTCTTGGGCTCTTATTAGTATAGTAGATGTATTATGTTAGATTATGTATATTATCCTTTCAAAAAAGATTGTGTGTATTATATTAAGAGTTTATGTGTATTCTGTTATACAATTATGTACATTCTATAATACAATTATATACATTTTATAATACAATTATGTACATTCGAAACAGGAGATGTTTTTTAAGTGTTAAGAGTTTATGTGTATTGTGTATTATGTATTATGTTAGATTATGTGTAATATCCTTTCAAAAAAGATTATGTGTATTATGTTAGGGGTTTATGTGTATTCTATTATGTACGTTTGAAACATGAGATTTTTTTTTTTTTAATAGAAGTTAACCGCAGAAACAGGAAATGAAATTTTCAAAAAAAAAAAAAACAAAAAACAAAATGACGTCGTTTTGAGCTAAGGAGCACAATGCATTGGACGCCATGGTGCACGATATAATTTGTCAAGATTCACAATGCACATGGTGCATCATGGTACACGATGTAATGAAATGTTTTAACACCCTTAAAATCCATAATGGAGTGTTTTGACACTCTTTAAGATCTTACTTGACATGAACATTATTAGTTTCTGTGAATATTATCCTAATAATCTTAGTGTACTCTAGTTAAAAAAAAAAAAAAAAAAAAAAAAAAAAAAAAAAAAAACTTGCGATCTGACAAAAGAAAAAAAGAATTGTATTGTCAAGCAGTCAAATGGTGAGCGTTGTGAGATAAAATGAGAATAGCAAAATAGCATTATTTTTAAAACTAATAATTTAAACAAAATTATTATTGTTAGATTATAATATTATTTAAAATAACTTTCTCATAGAAATTTCAACTCGATACTTTCGCACGTCTTCTATGTTTACTGAATACTCCGTATATGATTGCTTCTTTGACCCAAACCAATTAATTACATATATGGTTTTTCCAGGAAGCTTACATATTTGCAAACGTGCTGCAAAAAATTATTTAATTTTTAGTTGAAAAAAATATTCTTAATTTGACAAAAAAACTCCAAGCAGTGTGCCAATGTGTATATTATAACTAAGAAAAAGCAGTACAACGTTGTATATACTACATGCATCATGGCTTTCTGACCACTCAAAATAAGGGAGGATGTAAATTACGGTGATTCAATGGTTCAACAGATAAGGTCAACTGCTAGTGCGCACAAGGGATCCACCTACTTTGAGCATAATTC